CTTTCTACATAACCTATACAGTAAATTAACTATTAAAAATTATAAGAAACTTGAAATATACAACGGGATACATTTCACCATTAATACAGACACCTAAACACAGACATATATAAAGTTGATATCCTTAGGGTATATTTTTAATATTTAAGACCCCATGCTTCTACCAGGAGGTGTGCAATTTGTCTTCTCATCTTCCTGTTCTGGTCTGTTCCCCAAGATGCCCCACCTTCACACCTCTATTCACTCTCTCCCAAAAATAAATACAGGGTATATTATATGCTACTTTCAAGAGTCAAATAGATGACTCAAACATTTCACAATTAATAGTTAGGAGACTGCCATACACATGTATTATTGCACTTACTACCCCAACCTCCCAAGATTTTACAGAGAAAAAAAAAGACCTGCAACAATCAAGTAAAATAAGCTAGGTTAGGTCCTAGAAGCCAGTGGAAACTGAAATTCCACACTTGATCCTAGTGCTTAAAAAAGATCAAATTAGGTATGTTTTGTGTAGTTGGGCAAAAATAGTTGACAATATAGCTAAGTAATTAGAGTGAAAAAATGTGGAATTATAATATTAAGATTAAAATATATCAAATTAGAAAAAGTATAGTGTCTACAATACAACAATTAGCCACTGAACCTCAGGTCTAGACATTTCTCAAGGAATAGAAGAAGATGGGGGAGGCAGGGAACACTAGTAGCAAATGAGTCACAAAATTCTAATATAAGATAGTAGCTTTCAAACATTTTTGACCATGATCCACAGTAAGAAATATACACATATTTTTTATTGTGAGCCTATAGAGTACACACACAACACTTAAAAAAAAAAAAAGTGTTTTACAGATTAATTACCCTTGCTCGATACACTTTACTCTGATGTTTTCACCTCCATCTTGTTCAACTCTCCTCGTTTTTAAAAAAATGTGATTATGACGCAGTTCATTCAGAAAGTGAGGAGGGAAGGGGAGTAAGTGGAGGGGTTAGACATGGAGGGTGGGGAGCAGTGATGGGGGACTTTGTCCCACACTGATATTTGGCAATGTCTGGAAATATTTCGAGTTGTCCCACTGGGAATGGAGAGACTACTGGCATCTAGTGGGTAAAGGCCATGTATGCTGCTAAACATCCTACAGTATACAAGACAGTCCCACAAAACAAACAATTATCCAAACCCAAATGTCAATAGTGCTGAGATTGAGAAAACTGCTCTGGATTATTTAATAAATTAATGTTAGATAAAATTGTAAAGTCAATAGTACTTTTAAAGCTTATGAAAAACTGCCCTGGCCGATTTGGCTCAGCGGTTGGAGCGTCCACCTGCGGTCCAGAGAGACCCAGGTTCGGTTCCCACTAAGGGCATGTACCTCGGTTGCAGTTTGTCCCCGGCCCTGGTTGGTCGTGCGGGTGGCAGCCACTCGATGTGTCTCTTTCACATCGATGTTTCCCTCTCTCTTCCTCTCTCTCCCTCCCACTCTATCTGTACAAAAAATGGAAAAATGTCCTCGGGTGAGGATAAAAAAATAAATAAAAAATAATAAAGCTTATGAAAAACTGTATTTTAAACTTAGAGAGCCATGTCCAACATTTAAATTTGGAAATACTATGACATCAGTAATCTAAAACTGATCTTCTATAATACAAAGATGGGGGGAAAAAGAAGAAGAAGAAAATTTGCAATTTGGGGAAGTGATCTAGCATTGTGAAAAGCAAAGAGTGTCATAATGAGTTAAGAGATAACGTACAAAACATACAAATCACTTTTAGAGACTATTCTAGTCTTTAAACAGGTATTTCTCCTCACTGAATACTACTATTGAGGGTAATATCAAATAGGAAAAGGTTATTTTATTTCGATTTCTTCCTTCTAAACAAAATTAAATTACAATTTTCTACTGGAAATACAAGTTGGCAGAAACCATACTCTGTAAAACAAATTATTAGATAGATGAAAGAAGTACTATCTCTAAGAGTATTGCTAGGAGCTCAAGTTTGGGGATCATACAGATATGAGTGACTTGTAGTTTCTTGATAAATGTTTTAGTTCTGCTACATAGTATTGTAAAGAATTTTAATTTAACTCATATATTACTTTTCATTTACATGAGATTTTGATAAGTGTATACTTCCAAATCTGAAACAATGTATAAACCCTTAGAAGAATACCACATACAAAAGAGCTTTCCAATATTAGATTGATGCATTTCTGTTTTGGGGTTAGTTTGTTTTTTGTTTTATTTTGTTTTGTTTTATGGTGGGGGGAGAAGGAGGCTTTATATCTTTATGTGGTAAAAGTGAAGGCATTATTTTTGCAAAAAATAACAGAAGTGTGTAACAGAATCTAAACTAAATCACTAAGAATAACAAAACTATCTTTTCCTTACCTTTTATGATACACTCAGGAAAATATCAAAAGTGATAAAACTGAAGATTATTCAATATACTTAAGAAAGTATTACAGCTTCTGGTAAATATCTATTTGCTCTATGACAAAATTAAAATCTAAAGTTTCTCTTTATGGATCTTTATATTTTAATAAGCACAAATTTCTTATTATTTATAACTTAAATGCAACTAGTATAAAATAAGACTCTAACTTGACTTTTTCCCACTGTATATGCATTTTCCCCAAGCCCATGTGGTGAGTAATTTATCTCTTCCTCCTTGGTTTGTGGTGATTTCTATGTTTTTAAACATTTATTTGTTTTATTATGCCACTTCGGTAAAAGGATTATTTTACATGAAAGTAACTGAGGAGAAGCAGATACAAGAAAAGGTCCCTGCCCTCTCCCTATTTGCCTAAAAGTAGGACAAATGTTTGAAAAGGTGATCTCCTCCCTTCTCTATCAGGACAGACATTAACCACTGGAGATAACTCTTGACCCTTATAAGCACCATAGGAGTCTACATAACAAATCTTTCTAAATCTTCCATTAGTTCCCACAACTCGCTGCCCCTAGAAGCTCAATGTCCTTTTTCTTTGTCTTGTCCTCTCTCCAAAAATGTATTGTTCTTTTGAGTTTCTCATAGCTGAGTGCTCCCATATGTATAGGCAATGCACATGATAACAAATTTGTTTTTCTCTTGTTAATCTTTGTCAGTCTAATTTATAGGACCCCAGCCAATGAACCTAAGATGCACAGAAGGAAAAAAGAGTTAAGTTTTTCTTCCTCTACACCTTCCAGCATAACTTTAGTAATAGGATACCTCAATGAACCAATTAAGATTATGACTAAATTAGGGTTAGGGTTAGGGTTAGAAAAAATAAAATAAAACCAAGAAAAAGATTATGACTAAAGTATTATTAACCCAAGAGATAATTTGAAAGGAACATGCATCTTTATGGTATTTGGCCTTCCCAATTAGAAACATGAAGTGACTCTCTACTCAAATCTTCCTTTATATTACCCAGTCAAGTTTTGTAGCTTTCTTCATGTAAGTCCCCCTCATTTCTTATTATTTACTTTTAAATCACATTTTGTTTTTAGTTCAGAATGGAAACTGCTTTTCATTTATATTTTCTAATTATTTTTCATACAATATAAATGATTAAATATTAATTTCACATCCAGCTGCCTTCTTGAATTCCTTTATTGATTTCCATTCGTTCCTATGAACAAAAAATCAATTATTCCTCAAATGGTGTCAGAAAACTGTGTGTGATGAAGAGGGTGGTACAAGAGATTCATGTTAAATACTAACCTATCTGGTGTATTTTGCCATATACCAAAATAAATTACAGAAAGATTAAGAAGTTAAAAGTTAAAAAATAAAAAATAAAATCATGAGAATATAGAGTTAAATGTTTAACTAATTTGGGGATGAATAAAGAGTTTATGGGGATAAAAGGAATAGAAAAAAATTACCAAAGAATGCAAAGACTTAGCTATATTAAGTTCAATACTTCCAAATGAGCAAAGAAAATTAGTAAGTAAATATCAAAATGCGAAATACATTTGGAACAGATGACAGTTAAATGGGTAAAATCCTAACCACATAAAAAGCTCTTATAAATCAATTAGACAAAAACTAATGAATACCCAACAGGAACATGGGAAGAAGAAATAAATGGAATGAATAAATGATTAATAGAAGATATCAAACACCAATTTACATACAAAATATTCAACTTCACAATCAAGTTCAAATTAAAACAACAAAGAGATAGCATTTGTTGTGGTCTATTCAACTGACAAAGACTTGGTGCATCTAGCCTGAAAGCTCGAGCCCATTTGCTTGAAGAAAGCGTATTACAGGAATATGGAGTATTATGACCTTTTTGGAAAGCAGGCTGGTAATCTGAATTCAAAGCTAAAAAAATCAGAGCACAAGTATGGATTTGTGAAATTCTCAGAGATATAGGTAAATATTATGCATAGAAATGACTATTACAATATCATATATAACAATTAGAAGTAACTGCAATGCCCTCAAATAAAGGAAGAGTTAGTTTGTGGTATATCCTTATGATAGAATATTAGGACAGCCATTTAAAACATATTTCTGAAGAATAACTAATGGCTTTTTTTAAAAAAAAACTAATGATGTGACAGAACAAGTGCAAAGGAAAAAAGGAAGAAATACAATAAAATGTTAATAATGGTTATATTTAGGGAAAAGGGTTATAGATAGCTTGTATTTCATTCTTATACTTTAAGAAATTTTTCAGATATTCTATAGTAAACATATCATTACTTTTAAAAGGAAACACAAAAAACATATAGCTAATAGGGTTTGTAAAAATATGCCATCAAGTGGTGTAAGAAAATTTTCAGAAACAAAGCAAAAAAACAATTTTAAAAATCAACAGACTTCCAGAGGATGTTCATATTTTATAACTTGAAACTTTCTTCACAAGCCCAACACCATTAAAACACTTTTAAAATAAAGGTAGTAATATCTAACTTTTAAATGTTTATTCAGAAGTACAACCTAAAACAAAAAACTCTTTAATCAATTGCAGGGAATTGTGTGATTAGAATAGAGTAGCTTACCTTTTTCACTTACACTCTCACTTTCAATCTCAACATCATCACAACTTGTATATTCAGGTGTGGAAGCTAATTCCTCCTCTGAACTGCTCAATGAAACCTGGCGCATTTTACCTCCTTTCTTTGATTTGTGAGGCTTTGGTGGTGGAGGTCTCACTGACTCTGACTGGTCGGAACTGAGAGAATCATTCCTTAACATTGTTTCCATTTTTTCCCGTTTTGTTTTTCTCACAGCAGAGCTAGGATCTAAGTGGTGTTGTTTCCTTAGTGAGTCAGTACGCCTTGTGTCTTGTCTATCACTGGGTATTGGACTCCTCCGGGGGGTAGGAGGACTATGGTTTGTGGTCCTTTGTGGATATGAACTTGGTCCCTGAGCTTCTCGAGTTCTTTCCATGGAATAAGATCGCTGATTTTCCATGGCAGCTCTACGTTCAGATATAGATCTTTGCCTTGATGGTCGTTCCATCCTCAGCATAGAAATCCTGGAATCTTCCAGTTCAGCATTTGCCAAAGACACATCACTATGTCTTCTCTCATGCCATGCTCTGGACACTTCAGCATGAATACGCATTTGTTCTTCATAGGGTTGTGGCTTGACTGGATAACGGGCCAAATTTGGATCACTTCGATAACGTGCCTGGTATTCCTCTTCTCTCCTTTGTCTTTCATATTCATCTCTGCTTTCCACATCCTCATCATCTACAATATATTCTTTGGAATGCCTATGACTTCTCCTACTAGGGTCCCTATAATTTATATGATCAGATTCTTCATAAAACTGAGGTTCACGTTGAGACCGCCTATCAGCATAATCTGATGGAGATCTAGGCATTGCGCTGTCCGAAGTAGCATACTGTGAATACTCCTCTCTTTCTTCCCTTTGGTCGTATCTTCTATTCTGATCTCTGGACACTGATGGACTTCTTTTCCTAAGTAATCCAAAAAAAAAAAAAAAAAGAGAGAGAGAGAGAGAGAAAAGAAATGATGAGAAGAGCAACATTTAAATAATTTTACATTTTATTGATTCACTGGCAGATTGATGGATAATTCAATTTTTCTTTTGCTTCATTTTTTTAAAATGTCATTATAAAGTCATGCCAAAACAAAATTTTACTTATATTCATTCTATTTAGTTCAAATAGGAAATTTTAAAGGTACTTTTGATGTGGTTCTCAAATGCCTGATACACTATATATGAAATATACTGATGTCCTACAATTAGAAAACCATCACATTCTGCTGCTGTAAAACAGACTTTATTCTAATTTACTTGCTTTGCTCCCAACTTCAACCATCTCCCAACTTTTATTCAGAAGTTTTAAAAAATTCCACCTTCCATTCTCTCTATTCTGACACCTTGGTGAAAAAGTTACTTAAAAACATAATGAAGCTAAACTGACTTGGCTCAAGAGTTGAATACTTTATGACTAAAGCTAAGTGTTGGCTTTTAAAAATCATTTTTCATTCCTCTACCTATGTAAATCACTTTTAGTATTGGTTCATCTAGGTCTTCATCTTATCATCCTATCTCCAACCCTTCCTTACTGTTCTAACTTAAAGTAAGCAATTTAAATAAACACCAACAATAATGATTTATTCATCACAAAATCACTAGAAGTCAGAAAGGACAGCTAGTCTTATTCCATCTTCATTAAGGATGAATGACAGGCCAGATCAATGACACTTCTCTTCTCTGGCTTCACATCTGACTCCTCATTTTTCTTTACTCTGTTTGTAGTCTCAGAGGAAGATACTGTATATTGTTCTCAACCTGCCCCTCTAACTCTGATACAGCCAGATGGACCTTACAGTCACACTTAGTATTACTCTTTGTCAACAAAATATTCATTGTCTTCATCTCCGGCACAAACTCAAATAATGTCAACCATTATTCATGAGAAGCAATGGAACTGTCATGCTGAATATGACAGAAAAGGTTTAGAACAACTGTTATGAAAATTTTTTCAGAATACATGAACAGGAGATAATAAAATAGTAGGATCGGTTGAATTTAAAGATGACCAATATTAGACAGCTCAGTTGTGAATTTCTTAGACAATATTTTTTGACCCAAAAACAAGAACAGAAAAAACACATGTGGAATGATGCAACCCAGCAACATCATCACTGTCATCTAAAGTCTCCTCTTTGTCCCTGAATCCCTTTCCCCTCAATACCTGGAATACATTTTGTCAGTGTGTCATTTAAGGTTCATTAAGGAAAACAGAGGTCACTCTAGGTTTTCCAGGTAATAAAGGTTTTAATGTGGGAATCAGAAGCTACATAACTGGTACTATATCTCACTGTAGTTTTTATTTGCATTTCCCCTACAGCTAGAGAAGCTGAGCATCTTTTCATATATCTATCTATTGGCCATTTGCATGTCTTTTTGGAAGAAGTGTTTGGGTCCTCTGCCCATTTTTTAATAGGATTGTGTGTTTGTTTGGTGTTGAGGTATATGAGTTCCTTATGTATTTTAGATATTAACCCCTTGTTGGAGCTGTTGTTTGCAAATATCTTCTCCCATCCAATTAACTGCCTTTTTGTTTTGCTGTTGGTTTTTTCTACTGTGCAGAAGCTTTTTAGTTTGATATAGTACCATTCATTTATTTTTGCCTTTACTTCCCTTGCCTTTGGGGTCAAATTCAAAAAATCTTCTCTAAGACCATAATTCACTTTATTTATTTTTTATGCATATGAATAAAGAAAAATGTATGTTAGCATTGTAGCAATCAGAACACTAGAGTTGAGCGATCTGGGTATCTTAGTCCTACATTTAACATTACTCAATTATTTTAACCTATGTAGTCATTTAGGCTTTAAGAGTCCGTGCTTTAAAGTGAGAGACACAGACTGTACACGTTAACTCATATATCATTTTAACAAATATGTATTAGTTAAAAACTAAATGCCATACACTATAATAGGCTGGAAATACATAAATTAGTAAGAGACTCTTGATTTGGAAAGGCTAAGTGATTCTAAAACCCTCTTTCATTTTTTAGGAACTATGATATTATAATATTGATATACTAAATAAAACCCATTTATAATATTCATCAAGTTAATATACCTAAATGAAAGGGTAAAGCATAGCAAAAAACAATAAGGATACTCCTGTCAGAATTAACTGACTGGTGCCTATTTTTTTAAATTTGTCTTTACTGTTGAAAGTATTACATATGTCCCTCCAATCTCTTCCTATTGACACCCTCCTCCCTGCTCCTGTCCCCTCTTGCCTTCACCACACCGTTGTCTGTGTCCAATGGTTATGCATATATGCATATCAGTTCTTTGATTTCTCTCTTCCCTCTCCCCACCCCCCTTCCCTGTGAGGTTTGTCAGTCTGTTCCCTACTTCAATGTCTCTAAATCTATTTTGTTCATCAACTTATTTTATTATATTCCACAAATAAGTGAGATCACGTGATACGTATCTTTCTCTGATTGGCTTATTTCACTTAGCATAATACTCTCCAGGTCCCTCCATGCCATCTCAAAGGTTAAGAGGTCTCTCTTTCTAACAGCTGCACAGTATTTCATTGTGTAAATGTACCACAGCTTTTTTATCCATTCATCTACTGACAAACACTTGGGCTATATTTTTAACATATTCATATCTCACTAACTGGCTACTTATATACTTTACTAAAATACTAAAAGAAATTAGAATTTCTTTAAAGAACTCTAAAAAGTCCTTCTCAAACTGACCATCTACCCTTCATTAGATGCAGACTTTATGTTAGGAATTGAAACATTTTGGTATGTTAAAAAAGATATTACTTTTCCCAATCTAAGTTAATAAACATAGATTGTTTCTAGAAATACAAGTTATTCATAAGCCTTATTTAATATCAAAAAATTGTCATCTTGTCCATTTATATCCAGATATATCTATAATGCTCCTAAAATGTTAGGTTTCATGAGGACTGGCAACTTATATCTAAGGAGGCTGAAACATAGTAAGAGCTCAATAAACACCTGTTGAATTAGAGAATTGATTAAGTATATCTCCCTTAAATTATCTCTACTTTTCATGGTTTGCTCTTTTTTTCTGTACTGAAACCCACTGATTGCTAAAATAGTTGAGTTAGTTTTTTTCCCCTACTGTGCCCCTGACAGTAATAGCACCTCAAGTGAAAGGAAGGATCTACTTTTATTAGTAGTGTAATTTAGCTCTATTATATGTTAATTTGGCTTTTGTTGTTGGGCTTCAGAAACCAACTCTTGTTTATAAAATGACTTCTTTGGCAAAATATATTTTGAGTATCAATCGCTTATTTTACAACTAAACATTTAGAACAAAACCTCTTTGCAAATTAGGAATTTCTAATAACATCTTTAACATCACATTGGGTATCACAGGACAGAAGTGGAATTAAAAAAAAAAAAAAAAGGAACACTTCATTCCCTGAGGAATTAACATAAATTTTTGAAAGTAGGATATAAATAAAGTGAATATAGTGAGCCTTTCTAACACATGGAATATATTATATTTTATCAATAAATAAGAATATTTACTTACAGAATTTAGTTCCAGTAGAAAGAATATTAATAATTAGTCCTTAGAAAGCTATATTAGTGCTTTTTAAACATCATACCTTCAATAAATTGAATTTAATATTAAATACAACAATCACTTTGTTCTACAGATTATGAAATTTGCCTGAAGCATGTGAATCATACTGTTGACCCTGATTTGTACTGGATTTACGTAAATATAGAACAGTGGTCATGATTTCTGTAATTGGGCTAACTACTGTCACTATTACTTAAGATGAAATTAGGTTTGTAAAAATGTGCTTTAAGTTACTTTACAGTATATCAAAGATATGTTAGAAGTAAGGTGTTATTCTAAGAATATTCTTACCAAACAAAAATCTAATATTAGTTACTCCAAAATATTAAAATACCCTGTCAAAACAAGTTTTAACTGCTATATTGTGAATTATTGCATATATACTTTCGTTTGACTAAAACTGCTATATTTCTTAGACATATTTTTCAGGAAGTAATGAAAATTCAAGTACAATGTCTCTAATCTCTATCTTTGTTGCTGGCCTTTATGAACAAGCCTTAGCATTAATTATCAGTTGGAAAATATTTTATAGATAAAATAATAGAATGATAATTTATAAACTTCTCTAAACAATCATGGAGCATTTAACAAAATTTAACCCATAAATTATAATTCATAAAAATGGAGTAATTCATCTAAAATATTATATGTCACTTAATCTTTCAAAAACCCTGAGAAATTAAGAGGCAGAATCCAAAATTATGCCTTTCTTTAGAATAAAATGTATTTGTGATATTATATAATGCTTTAATTTTTACTACTATATATTCTATCAATCCCTATTTCTGACTGATAATATATCAGTATATATTTATATTTACTTTAGATTAACCTAATATCTGTTCATCTTCTCTTTATCGAAACCTAGGTTGTTAGAATTATTTTCTCTTTCACTATACTATAGTCATCTTAATTGGAACCAGTTTATAGAAAATGACATACAGAAATATCCTATTTCTACTTTAATCAGTAGCATTTCTATTCATTGTTTATAATTATAATGTGGACTCTCCAATCTATTTCTAAATATTCTAGTTTTGTATTCACACTTGATTAAGTATAATAGTTTGAGTGAGAAACTTTAAAATTCCATGTCTAAAAATTATACTGACTGATGGGGGAGCTCCAAATAAAAAGATTCTTGCCCAATTAAAGTCACTTGCCTAATTTCCCAAAGGCAGTCTCAATTTATAGACTGTATTTTAATTCATCATGTTTTTACCAGAGTTTTTATTTTAATATTTACAATCTTTACAATCCTATATGGTTTCTGTTATTATACCACCCATATATATCAATACTGATCACATAAGCTATAAAATAATCAAGTTTCTGTAAATATAATCCAGTA